TGGGTACTGCCTCCACCCAGTAACAGTCTATGTTAGGGGTCCTATTATGAGCTATATATAGCCATATTAATTATTATCCAACTGTTACTGAGGGGGGGGGGGGCAGTACCCAACCTAAACCCTGAACCCTCAACCTTAGCCTAGGGAGGCTGGTTAAAGTCATGATTTCATAAGTTCTAAACCCTAAACCCTTCAGAGGTTGAAACCATGGCCCCAAATATGGGCCCTTAACCTTGGGATCCTCATATACCTACTAGTATACCCTCTATGTGCCCCTAAAAGGCCTAAGGGCCCATAGTAGGGGCCCATACACCTAACCTTAAAACCCTCAAGCTGGGGGCAGACAAAGACCGAACGGGCCACACAGGTAATGTTGCAAAAGTGTAGAGACCCTCTTTAATGTGAGCTATAGTCTAAACTCCTTAAAGGGGGTTATATAGGGGATTATATAGGGGACTGCTATTAGGGTTATTAAGGGGGATACTAGGAGTTTAGACAATGGCTCATGTGTTTTCGCCGCCGCTTAATCAGGATCTGGCCATTGTTGTGGGCCATAGAAATACGGGACCGCATCCAGACCATCCCTTTAAAAATAATCTCCGAGGCCTCCCGGGGCCCTCAGTACCGTGGGACCATTATTCGGGGCGTCTAATTTCTGTTTTTCTGGGGGCCCTATTGTTGGAGGGGAGGGGGGCCCTAAAATTAAAGCGAGTCCAACATTAAAGGTTACTAGTAAGAGTACCCTAAACCCTAAACCCTAAGAGCAATGTTAAGGATGTTGGTAGTAATCGTGATAGTAGCAGTCGAAGTAGGAGCTGTGGCAGCAGCAGAAACCCGTGATGGTACTACTTGGATCCCCAAAAGTAGGTAAACTAACAGCCCAAAAGGCCATGATTCTACATATTTTTGGGGTTCAGGTAGTGTTAGTTCTGATAATTGTTGGACAGCGTGAAAGCCGAGCAAGGATCACTTTCTCCAGGATTGCCCCTCACACTGGAGACTTACAAGTGACAGTAAATGAGGAAAGAATGCCATGCGAAGTGAGACCTCACGCCTTTGTGAGATTTAAGGTTTAATGTAAAGCCCGTGCTTACACATTTCTTCTCGCTGCCTTGCTGTTCACAGAATCGTGATTTGGACACACTAAAGCTGTTGGGCATGAAGAGGTTTAGGGTTTGTTGTGTTTTTTTCATCATTTCTTGGTTTAGTGCAAAGATTTGAATATTGCCCGCTGACGATGTCTTGCATGGGCATTCAAGAAAAGCAGAGTCCTCGAAATCATGATTTTTTGAGGCTCCTGGCCCTGTCCTAAGCCCTAGACCATGTCCTAAGTTTTTTGGGATCAGGCTATTGCGTTGGGTGCGAAGCTGTGACTCGAGAACACTGAACCTTACAACTTGGGTTATTCCCCCTTACAGTAACAGTTATTACAAGGGATAATAAGAAATATAATAGCCCCTTAATAAGGCCCCCTTACAAGGACAGTTACTGGGAGGGGGAATGACCCAACTTACAACCCAAATTGGGGACGTTCTGGGGGTAATTTTCCCTCCCCTCTGTAGGGAATACATAGGGAGTATCTTCCTTTATTCCCAGCTAACCACAAACCCTGTGTAGATAAATAGATAGTATCCCCTCATTCCCAGGTAACCACCCTAAACCCTAAATCCGACACATATACATATATATAGTTATATATATATGTGTGTGTGTTGTGCATATGTATAAATATATATATATATTTATTTATACATATTCCCTGCTAGCCACCCTCGACCCTACATCCGTTATCTATGTGTATATGTGTACATGTGTATGTATATACACATCTGTTCCCTTATTGCCTACTAACCACCCTGAGACAAAAACCTATACATACATAAATACATACATACACAGTTCCCCCTTCTTCCCTACTAACCACCCTAAACCCTAAAACTCATACATATATACATGTAGGCATATATAGATATACACATATACACATACATTTAAAATGTTTATCCTCCCTTATTCCCTACTAACCACCCTCAAGTCATATTTCCCGAGCATTGGATCAGCGCAACTCCCAGGCCAGCCGAAGCGACGGCGCCCGCAGAGGGTGCTGCAGAGATTGACGTCACGGTGAGCATCTTGCCGTAACATCTTTCCAGGGGTTAGTAGGGAATAATCTTAGGGTTTAGGGTTTAGGGCTAGTATGGAATATGGAATATATACATATATATATATATGGGGTTCTTTAGGGAATATATTCCCATATTCTTTACTAAGCGCTAGTAAGATGAAGGTAGGATCATTCATCGAAACTTTCCCGCGGGAACTGGATTTTTTTTGCCGGTGGGTTCCACGTTATGGAGCGGCAAAAGGTCTTTCCACATGGCATGATGCACCAGATCTCCCCACATAGTGCAGTGAGGACCTTGCCAATTTGTTAAGGGCTCCAGCCTTTGTGTGTCAACATCCCCCTTAAGGGATAAACAGTGGCTTCTGTGGGTCCATCCCAGGCTCTAAGCCCTTTAACCTACATTCTTAGGTCCTAGACATTCCGAAGCCACAGCCCAGGCGTGCCAAAGGAGGGAGCTGAGGGTGTTCCTGGCCTGTCGTTGTTGGATGGTTTGTGCGGAAGCGTTTGACACTGAATGCGTGATGCACAGGGTGTATAACTCAGAAAATGTTTAAGGAGCGCATCCAGCCAGCAAAACAAAAGCACTGGACGGTCGCCTGGATTCTGTTCTAGAGTTCCTTCAGTTTCTAGCCAGGATGTATGGTAAGGTCATGGAAGGCAGGTCTGATGGACCTTCCCATGGAAGACCGCAGTGCCTCCACAGCCCTCATGATGTAAGCAAGGATGCTTTATGAACTTCGGAGCAGTGTTGTGTGACAGGTGCGGACGCACCTGCTGCTGCCCCTGCAGCAGAAGGGGCAGAGGCCGGGGAGCCTAAGCCAGACGGTGCACCAACAGGAGAAGCCACCACAGAGGCCACAGCGCCAGCTGAGGGAGAGGCGTCCGCCGAGCCAAAGGCTGAGGAGGGGGCCACAGCCGAAGCTGGTGCAGCCGAAGGTGCACCCGCAGCTGAAGCAGCAGCTGATGCGCCAGCAGATGCCCCAGAGGCAGGAACAGCCGAGGCCCCGGCAGACGCATCTGCAGAAGCACCCGCAGTTAAGGCAGCTGAAGGCACCGAGACTGCTGAAGCGGGAGGCACGGAGGCGCCAGGCGCAGAGGCCGCTGCGGAGGGCGCGGCGCCGTCGCCCGTGGCTGATGCGGAGCCAGCAGCAGATGCAACAGCTGGGGAACCCGCCAAGGAAGGCGAGACCAAGGACGGGAGCAGTTATGTGGCTTGCAATGGAGCATCGAAGTAGAACATGCCCGTAGCAGTGTCTAACAGTCTGACACTATTTAAGATTAAGGTGACTGAGAGACTGAGACAGAGGCACGCATGGCATGAGCCAAAGCCTGCATACGCGGAATGGCTGCAAAAGGTCAGGCAAGCTTTTAACTTTGGCAAGCAGTATATGTGCGGTTCGCTTCTTTGAATAAAGTTTCATCCTTAGAATGCTGCATAAACAAGTCGCCTGATACTCCTCAGATACCTAGATGTATATCAGGAATTAGGTCCATGCAGTGCTTTCGAAGGGCCCAGTAGGCACATAGTATATACTTGGAAGTGTCACAAGGAGGTCCCCGTGCAGATGCTCTAGAGTACATTATATAGCTAAGTGGACCTTTTGCAGTTCCTTTAGAGATCCCCATCTAGATACTGCAGAGCCAAAGTATATATTTTGTCGCTACATGGACCGGTTTCCCTGTCTTTGAGGAGTCTACCGGCGAGGAGCCTACAGCTGCTGCTGAGGCCAGTGTTGCTTGCAACCTCCTCTTCAAGCACGTCCTATTTGTAGACTTTTCGCCCCAATGTAGGCATCGTTTATAGACTTAGACCCGTATGGGGAGAATCTGTTTTGCCGCGGTCTCTAAAGGGTACGCGAGGTGACGCAGGAGTTCCTGCATCAATCATTTCTGCTGGTATCTAGGACGCAGATACCCTTCAGCGTTGTTACGACCTACCCAACACTCGAGGGTCAGGGCACTTACAACCCCAGCATAGCGGTACTTACGAGATAGCTGCTTGCTGAAAAAGCTGCAGTTGCAATCGGGTCGTCGTAGCACTGGTCTTGCAAGGGCTTGAGGGACCTACCCATCCCATGATGACTTCAAACGATTCCAGCCCCTTCATGTCCAAGCTCCCGGAGGATGGCCTTGAGGTGGGGTCTTTTTGAGGACATCTTGCGCAAGCATCCTAATTTCCTGGGTTGCTGTTAAGGA